GGCTTTACGTGATTTTATCCAGCGGCTTTGACAAGATTCGCACAAGATGCAGGGGGCTGGACTAGATGACCTCCAAGGTCCCTTCCAACTGCCTCTAATCAACATTAACATGTCCAGGAAGAGAGAAGCATCTGCCAGGACCAAATATGAGTGAGGAGAGGCTTTAAGGCAGCCTTTCTCAAGCTCAGCAGCTTTAAGGTGTGTGGACTACAACTCCCAGAATTCCCCAGCCAGCATGCTCCCAGGGAATTCTGGGAATTGAAGTCCACGCATCTTAAAAGTTGCGGAGGTTGAGAAAGGGCTTTAAGGAGATGGACGATCAAAAAATTACAGAAAAACTCTACTGCCCTCTTGTGGAACTATGGGGTATATATAAATATTGAATCGGAATCAGAATAGAGCTGGAAGGGAAGGAACCCTGAGGTCTTCTAGTCCAGCCCCCTGGACTAGCAGGAGACCCTGTATCATTTCAGACAAGTGGCAATAAATTGAATAAAAAAAATGTTTTGCACGCACAGGTAATGAATCCCACAAAAGGATTGCATTATTCAAACCTGAAGTCTTATTTCTAGGAAAAATAGGGTGATTCATCCCTGCTCAATGAAATAGGCAATAAAAACATTAAACACAGAATTTTATATCTATATGAATGAAATAGTATGGTAAAGAATGAATAAAATGTACTTGCCATTGAAACATACGGTTCACAAAGTCACAGCAAAATAATAATAATAAAAAAACCTTTCTAAATATCCTTCCTAAAGGTAAAATTTACTTGGCAAAAAAGATCTTTTTAAAAAGTTGTACTTTTTGAACCTTCATTTCCTTCTTTGCACTTACAAAGATGAACAGCATGCAAAACCCCACTGCAGTTGCATGCATACTAGCCACACACCCACTGAATTTTGGGTTGTATTAAACACCACCTGAAACCAATTTACAATTTGCACTAATTGGAATATTGGATTATTCCAGCAAGCACTCATCACAAATGTACCTGTATCACAATGTACCTGGACCTGCTTCTGGACCCCAACACCAGTGAGTATGTAGCCTGGTAGTTTTTCAAACTTGGTGACTTTAATTCCCAGAATTCCCCAGCCATTCAAGATGGGTTTGATTCTTGTAGACTTCCGGTCTCTGTTCCTCTTTAGCAATTCTTGGCTGTGTTGAATTTTTGATTTTTGCTCTGTAATTTTTTTCCCGGCTGCTATTTGATGGATTTTTTTAAATAGCTTTAAAATCATTTTAAATATTGTGAAGTATCCAGAGCCATGTATTTAAGATAAGCAGCCATATAATTCAAATAAATAACTATTGCAAATGGCAGTGGACATTTCTTTAAATAATAAATAAATAAATAAACAAACATTTAATGTTACCAAGAAAAATGCAGTCTAGGCAATCACGAGAAAGCCGTTGCAAAATGTTTGAATTATTTTGTGAGAAAGGTTTTGAACTCTCTCATATTAAATACTACGCCCTCTTCTGTATTGTTATTTTAAAATGTTAAAAGAGAGGAAAGGGGGGGAGGAAAAAAAAATATCGCTTGGAAAACATTGGTAAATATTTAATTTCTAAACTCCGCCTTTTTTATACTCTGACTTACAGCTTTTAAAAACATTTAGATCCCTGTTTAGACATTTAGACTGTCGAAGAAGGCAGAACATGGAATAGTCTGACGTTCATGTCACTTCAGGACAAAAAAAAAACTCATTAAGGATGAATCCAAGCTCATTAAAAAACTGGAAAGCAGACCGTGTGGAAAATCTGGCTGTTATGATTTCATTTTAAAAACTAGGAATAAAAGAGCAACAATGGAACAGAACATAGGACCAAAGGGGAAAGATATAATTTCTTTTGAGGGACCGAGGTTACCCCTAAAAACTGCCCATTTCTCAAGCAAGCAAAATCGTACCTAGATACATTAAATATATTAAACTAGCCTAAAGTGGGTTTTATATATATTGTGGTGCTAATACTAACAGAATAACAGAGTAAAGGATTTTGGAGGTTTTCTAGTCCAACCCCCTGCAGTGATTTACCTAACAACTGTGGCAAGAATAGAATAGAATAGAATAGAATAGAATAGAATAGAATAGAATAGAATAGAATAGAATAGAATAGAATAGAATAGAATAGAATAGAAAATATGGAATAGAATAGAATAGAATAGAATAGAATAGAATAGAATAGAATAACAGAGTTGGAAGGGACCTTGGAAGTCATCTAGTCCAACCTCCTGCCCAGGCAGGAGACCCTATTCCATTTCAAACAGATGGTTGTCCAGTCTCTTCTTAAAAACCTCCAATGTTGGAGCACCCACAACTTCTGGAGGCAAGCAGTTCCACTGATCAATTTTTCTCCCTTTTCAGGAAATTTCTACTTCCCTAAAGTACCAGGCTAAAAAGACTCGGGAAGACCCAGCTAGCACTTGGCAGAATATGAACGCTCCTCTTCTTTCCCCACTCCAAAGGAAAAAAGAAAAAAGCCATCTCAATTTTTTGCAAGAATAGAATAGAATAGAATAGAATAGAATAGAATAGAATAGAATAGAATAGAATAGAATAGAAATACAGAACAGAAAATAGAAAGAATAGAATAGAATAAGGAATGAATAGAATAGTATAGGAATAAGAACAGTAATAAATAATAGAATAGAATAAAATAGCAGAACAACAGAATAGAATAGAATAGAATAGAATAGAATAGAATAGAATAGAATAGAATAGAATAGAATAGAATAGAATAGAATAGAAAATATGGAATGGAATGGAATAGAATAGAAAAGAATAGAAAATATGATATGGAATGGAATGGAATGGAATAGAATAGAATAGAATAGAATAGAATAGAATAGAATAGAATAGAAAATATTGAATGGAATGGAATAGAATGGAATAGAATAGAATAGAAAAGAAAAGAATAGAAAATATGATATGGAATAGAATAGAATAGAATAGAATAGAATAGAATAGAATAGAATAGAATAGAAAATATGGAATGGAATAGAATAGAATAGAATAGAATAGAAAATATGGAATGGAATGGAATTGAATAGGAATAAATTTATTGTCACTTTGAATGTACACTAATCGGCATACATGAAAATGAAATTTCGTCGCATTCAGCTCTCAAAGGGTCACCACCTCCGATAACACACTACATCAATATGACCAAAATAAATAAATACATTCAGAATTATGCCTATACCCACATATATTATATGACACAGAGAAACAACACAGTCTAAGTTCGGGTTAAGTCCAGATGTGCAAAAAGAGACTTTTTGCAAAACTCCCATTTCGGGAGAGGGACGCGCAGTGGGAGGGGGGGGCGGAGGGGGGGGTCAAGGTCCAGCCGCGCGTCCCGGACCGGCATCGCTTGCAATTACGCCCACCCACCCCCCACCTCCTTGCAGGCGAATCGGACCTAGATTGGCAGCTGCAGCCGCCGGAGGGAGGCTTCTTGGCACGGTCTCCAGGTCTGGATCCACCAGCTGGGAAAGATCCCGAGCCGAGCCGAGCCGAGCCGAGCCGAGCCAGCTTGCAAAAACTGCAGCCGGCCCGGGAGCTTTTTTGCAAGAGCGAGGCTGGAAGCGGCGACGTGGCCGGCCCGGGAGCGCCCTCGCCGGCCGCGGCTGAGCGTTCCTCGTAGCCCCGAACGCCGACCCGTCCGCGGGGCGAGCGGCGGCCGTTAGTGTCGCCCGAACGAAGCGCGCAACGGCCGCGGCGGAGGCTCCCATCCGGCCGGCCGCAGCTGGAGAGGGAAGCCGGCGGCTTTTTTTTTTTTGTTGAGCGCTTCAAAGTGGTCTCCTTTCCTCGAGCAGCGCAGGATTTGAACTCAGTGCCGGGCTCCGGAGGCGAGCCGGGCCTCCTCCGCTAGGGCGGAGCGCCTTGCGATGAGAGCCCGAAGCGGAGAGGATTGAGTCCCGACACGCTTCTGTTTCCAGACGAAAGGTAGTCCTTGGAATCCCCAACCGAGCCCCAAATTTTTTTTGGTCGCTAAGCGAGACAATGGTTGAAAGTGAAGTTTTGCCCCGTTTTACGACCTTTCTGGCCGCGGTTGTTAAGTGAATCGCTGCAGTTGCTGAGTTAGTTCTACGGTTGTTCAGGGAATCGGGAGAGGGGCGCCCATACAGGCAGTGCTTGACTTAACGACCGCAATTGAGCGAATAATTTTGTTGCTAAGTGAGATAGTTCAGTGAGGTTTTGCCCCGTTTTATGACTTTCCTTGCCACCGTTGTTAAGTGAATCACTGTAGTTGTTAAGTCAGTAACACGGTGGTTAAGTGAATCGGGCGAGGGCATCCATACAGGTAACTCCTTGACTTATGAGCCCGATGGAGCCCCCCAATTTTTGCCGCTAAGCAAAGACGGTTAACCGAGTTTTACCCCCATTTTACGACCTTTCTACCCACGGTTGTTAAGTGAATCACTGCACCTGTTGAGTCAGTAAGACGGTTGTTAAGCAAATCGGGCACTCCCCCATTGACTTTGCTTGTCAGAAGGTCACAAAAGAGGATCACGTGACACACACACACGGGGACACCGCAACCGACAAAGTCGGTTGCCATTTTGTTCCCTCATATCAAATTGTATTAATAATAATAATAATAATGATAAAGTTGGAAGGGACCTCGGAGGTCATCTAGTCCAACCTCCTGCTTAGGCAGGAAACCCTATACAAAGGAGAGAGAGAAAAATAACGGAAAACTAGGGAAAAAGAGAAAATGTGGAGTGGAAAGGGGAAAAAGAAAAAAAAAAGGCATCAACTTCCGACTCTTTTTTGGCCCAGTAAAAAATATAATAACATTACGTCCATTTTTTTTTACTCAATTTACTCGGTTGAATTTTGGTCACGTGACCACGAGGAGGCTCCCAACGGTCGTAAGTTTGGAAAAAAACAAACTTGTGGTGTTGACACTGCGAACGGTTGTAAGACGAGGACTCTCTGTGCCAGCCCTCCTGTTCTTGTTTTCTCTCTTCTTTTTTTGCAGCCATGAATTCCGACGAAGCCTTGATCTCCCTGTTGGTGATGGCGGGCATCATCCTGCTGGTGGGCGGCTGCAGACAGCTATCCCACGGGGCGCTACGCCGGACACCCAACTGGTTCACTTTCGCCCAGGAATTGACCGCCACCTTCCAGATCTGCGCCTGTACCCACGAACTCTGCCTGCTGGGCGGCTTGCTGCCCCATCCGCAGATCGCCCTGTGGCTCACTTACGTTTTCACCGTCCTGCACGGCTGGACTTTAACGGGCAGCGTGGGCAATCCGGCCGGCAGCCTCCAACAGTTTTACAAAGGGCAGTTGCGGGTCCAAAGTTGGTGCCTGCAAACGTCGGCTCAGTTTGCGGCGGCCGTCTTGGCTCACCTGTGCATGAAGTTAGTCTGGATGTTGGGGTTCACCTCCGGCCATTTGACAGCCCTGCCCGACATTTGCAGCAACCCCATTCAAACCACGATCACCAACGCTTTCGGCCTGGAGTTACTCTTCTCCTTCCTGTTGCACCTGACTCTGCTCCAATTTGAGGGCATGAACCCCACCATGAAGGTCCATCTGATTGCTCTGCTGATCACCTCTTTTGTCTACACAGGTGGGTCATGTACTCCTTGTTGGTTCCTCTCACTTTAAATTTGGACCGGGGTCCTTATTTGGAATACAGGTAGTCCCAACGACTCGCCGCCACGTTTGAGACCAACGTTTCCGTTGCTAAATAAGGCGGTTCTTAAGTGAAGGTTGCTCCAAGAGACCTGGCGTGGCAGGGGTTAGAATGCAGTACGGCAGGTGGGCTCTGCTCACTGCCAGGAGTTCGATCCTGACCGGCTCAAGGTTGACTCAGCCTTCCGTGCTTCCGGTGGAAGGTAAAATGAGGACCCAGATTGTTGGGGGCAAATAGGCTGACTATGTAAACTGTGTAAACTGCTCCGAGAGGGCTGTAAGTCCTTGGCCCAAAGTCACCCAGTTTTCATGCCTAAGGTGGGACTAGAACGCACGGTCTCCTGGTAATTGGACCAAAATCATCCAGCTGACTTTCATGCCTAAGACGGGACTAGAACTCATGATCTCCTGGTGATTGGACCAAAATCACCTAACTGGCTTTCATGCCTAAGCAGGGACTAGAACTCACCATCTCCTGGTGATTGACTCAAAGTCACCCAGTTAGTTTTCATGCCTAAAACGGGACTAGAACTCACGGTCTCCTGGTGATTGGCCCAAAGTCACCCAGCTGGCTTTCATGCCTAAGGCGGGACTAGAACTCACGATCTCCTGGTGATTGGCCCAAAGTCGCCCACCTGGCTTTCATATTTAAGGCGGGACTAGAACTCACAGTCTCCTGGTGATTGGCCCAAAGTCACCCAGCTGGCTTTCATGCCTAAGGCAGGACTAGAACTCACGGTCTCCTGGTGATTGGCCCAAAGTCGCCCACCTGGCTTTCATATTTAAGGCGGGACTAGAACTCACGGTCTCCTGGTGATTGGCCCAAAATCACCCAGCTGGCTTTCATCTCTAAGGTAGGACTAGAACTCACGGTCTCCTGGTGATTGGCCCAAAATCACCCAGTTAGTTTTCATCCCTAAGGTGGGATTAGAACTCACAGTCTCCTGGTGATTGGACCAAAATCACCCAGTTGGCTTTCATGCCTAAGGTGGGACTAGAACTCACAGTCTCCTGGTGATTGGCCCAAAGTCACCCAGCTGGCTTTCATGCCTAAGGTGGGACTAGAAGTCACCTTCTCCTGGTTCCTAGGCTAGCACCTTTACCATGACACCAAACTGGCTCTTGTTATGCCAACAAAAATCCCGAGATGAGCGCAATATCCATAAGAATAGATCCAATAGCGTGCTAGGAATCGATTCAGTCTGGAAGAGCTGGAAAGCTGATGGAGGCCTTATGAAAGATCTAAGACCCAAATATCTATGTATAAACACACCCTCCATTAAGAGCTTCTCGTAAGCCGAGGGCATCCTATTCTTCAAACTCTGCCTTTGCCAAGCACATCATCTCTTCTGCGAGTTTCTTTGCCAGCCACTTCTGCTGAATCACACTTGGGAGTTCAGCTGGTTGTGTATTTGTGTATTAAATATTTACTGCTCAATTGTGGCATAACCGTACCCATCTGGGCTGACTCAGAAGCCTTTGGAATACAGGTAGTCCTCCAGTTACGACCACAAGCCAGCCCCAAATTTATTTTTCTAAGTGAAACATTTGTTCGGTGAGTTTTGCCCCCGTTTTGCGACCTTTGTTGCCACCGTTGTTAAGTGAATCACTGCAGCTGTTCAGTGAGTGACAGGGTTGTTAAGTGAATCTGGCTTCCCCATTGACTTTGCTTGTCTTAAGAGTCACAAAATTGGACACGGCCACCGTCGTAAATATGAATCCATTGCCTATCGTCGGAATTTGGATCACGTGACCGTGGGGATGACTTTGAACTTGTTTCTTCACTCTGCTGGATCACCAAGCATTCATTTAGTCCAAAGTTGTTCAAAGGTACGGCGGTGCTAAAAAAACGGACTTATGACCCTTGCCGCATCTCCCGGGTCACGTGATCAAAATTCGGACTCTTGGAAACTGGCATGTACTTATGACGGTTGCACTATCCCGGAGTCTCGCGATCCCCTTTTGTAACCACCCCAGCTGGTTTCCTGATAAGCAAAGCCAATGGGGGAAGCCAGGTTCATTTAATGACCGAATGATCCAGTTAGCTCCAGTGGATTCTGTTCACTACTGTGGCAAAAAAAAGGTTGTAAAATGGGGCAAAGCTCACTGGACAGACGTCTTGCTTAGAACAAAAGTTTTGGGTTGAGTTGTGATCATAAGTCAAGGACCACCTGTAATTTTTAGAACAGAATAGAACAACAGAGTTGGAAGGGACCTTAGAGGTCTTCTAGTCCAACCCCCTGCGCAGGCAGGAAACCTTATACCATTTCAGACAAATGGTTGTCCAGTCTCTTCTTAAAAATTTCCAGTGTTGGAGCATTCACCACTTCTGGAGGCAGGTCGTTCCACTGGTTAATTGCTCTCACTGTCAGGAAATTTATCCTTAGTTCTAGGTTGCTTCTCTCCTTGGTTAGTTTCCATCCGCGGCTTCTTTTTTATTTTTTTATTTTTTTTATAATTTTATTGACAAAACAATTAAAACAAAAAGGGACATGACATGACGTTCCAGTATACATGATCCTAGTAATTCGTTCCTTATCATATTTAAAGTTCTAAATATACATCTCTCTACGTATTAACACATAATTTTATATACCACAAATTTAAACTTTAACTCAAAACCCGACCAGTTCTTCTTGACTCATNATCCAGCTCTATCAATTCTGTTTTTATACCTAATTCTTTTTTGTCTTTCCGACATCTCGCCTGCAATTGAAGATATGCCCACCATTCTAATTTTAATCCTCCATCTTGCAGGGTTTTTCTAGATTTCAATTCCCCTCTCTCATCTAATACGTTTTTATATGTTATAATCTTCCCCCATTGAATAAATTTTGGATGTACGGCTTCTTGTCCTGCCTTCAGGCGCTTTGGAGAATAGCTTGACTCCCTCTTCTTTGGGGCAACCCCTGAGATACTGGAACACTGCTATCATGTCCCCCTCATCCTTCTCTTCATTAAACTAGACAGACCCAATTCCAGCAGCCGTTCCTTGTATGTTTTAGCCTCCAGTCCCATAATCATCTTTGTTGCTCTTCTCTGTACTCTTTCTAGAGTCTCAACAGCTTTTTTACATCGTGGTGACCAAAACTGGGTGCCGTATTCCAAGTGTGGCCTTACCAACGCCTTGTAAAGTGGTATTAACACTTCACGTGATCTTGATTCTATCCCTCTGTTAATGCAGCCTAGCACTGTGTTGGCTTTTTTGGCAGCTGCTGCACACGGCTGGCTCCTATTGAAGTGATTGTCCACCAGGACTCTGAGATCCCTCTCACAGTTGCTACTACTAAGCCATACTGGGTGGTATGCATTATGCACCTATACTGGGTTTAATACCATTAATCAACAACATCTGCCTATCTCAGGTCCTTGGGACCGATAGGTGTATAAAAATCCCAAATCCGGTCTAATTTACATAGGGAGGGGGGCTGTAACAATGCACCATTGTTTGTTTTTTGGGGGGGGGGAAATGCCCCTTCCCTTACCAGACTATCCTAAGGACGGCTGAAAAGATCTGAAGAATATACAGCTTCCACCACGTGGCCTTCATTGATCATTAACCTCCCTCTGAAGAGTTTGGAAACTCCCCAAAAGCAAACATCCTGGTTTGTAGGAGGTGATGTCAATCAACCCCTGAACTTTGGAATCTGTTTGATTTGAGATTTATTTATTTTGGGATCTTCTTCTTGTCTTTGATAGGAGGAAACCTCACTGGTGCAATATTTAACCCGGCTCTGGCTTTTTCTTTGCACGGGAGCTGCTTCATAGACCAGTTTTGGAATTACCTGGTGGTGTATTGCATCGCACCTTGCATAGGTGAGCGGTTTTATATTGTTCGTTTCTTTTGGTCAAAGGCACCAGGAGCCCTAAATCGCAGGAAGCAAGGGGTGTAAAACAAGAGAGGAACCCCTTTAAGAACGGAATCTTAGAATAAGCCTTTTGTGTCTGATACTGGATAAAATAGGAAAACCCCCCCCCATTTCTGCATCAGAATAGAATAGAGCTGGAAGGGACCTTGGAGGTCTTCTAGTCCAGCCCCCCACTTAAGCAGGAGAGCATACCATTTCAGACAAGTGACTATCTAGTCTCTTCTTAAAAATCTCCAGGGATAGAGTGCCCACGATTTCTGGAGGCAAGGAATAGAATAGAACAGAATTAAGGAATAGAATAGAATAGAATAGAATAGAATAGAATAGAATAGAATAGAATAGAATAGAGCTGGAAGGAACCTTGGAGGTCTTCTAGTCCAGCCCCCCACTTAAGCAGGAGAGCATACCATTTCAGATAAGTGACTGTCTAGTCCAGGGGTGTCAAACTCAATTTCATTGAGGGCCGCATCAGCATTGCAGTTGCCCTCGGGGCTGGGTGGGTACGGCCTACTGGGTGGGTGTGGCCTACTGGGTGGGCGTGGCCAGCTCTACATCGTTCACGTGAAGGGTGCTTGTGGGGGCCTGGGCAGGAGTGGGATAGATCTGAGGGTCTCTGGCAGAAGGGGGTGGGACCGGGACAAGCGCCAAGGCATGGTCCACTGTTCCTCTCAAGCCATGCCGGGGGGGGGCTTATGGAGCTAAGACTGAATGTGTTTCAGCATAGATGGCCATCACAAAATTGTACATTGGCTCCCGGCCAGCCTGAGCCAGGGCCAAGGCAGCGGGGGCCGTTCCCTCACTGTTTCCAGGGTGGCTTTGCAGGCCAGATGAAACCACTTCGCGGGCCGCATCCAGCCCCCAGGCCTTGTGTTTGACATGTCTGGTGTAAAACAAGAGAGGAACCGCTTTAAGAAGGGAATCTTAGAATAAGCCTTTTGTGTCTGATACTGGATAAAATAGGAACCCCCCCATTTCTGCATCAGAATAGAGCTGGAAGGGACCTTGGAGGTCTTCTAGTCCAGCCCCCCACTTAAGCAGGAGAGCATACCATTTCAGACAAGTGACTGTCTAGTCTCTTCTTAAAAATCTCCAGGGATGGAGTGCCCACGATTTCTGGAGGCAAGGAATAGAATAGAACAGAATTAAGGAATAGAATAGAATAGAATAGAATAGAATAGAATAGAATAGAATAGAATAGAGCTGGAAGGAACCTTGGAGGTCTTCTAGTCCAGCCCCCCACTTAAGCACTAGAGCATACCATTTCAGACAAGTGACTGTCTAGTCCAGGGGTAGGCAACCTTGGCTCTTTTATGACTCATGGACTTCAACTCCCAGAATTCCTGAGCCAGCCATGCTGAGGGGAAAGGGAGAGGTTTCCATGCTGAGCCATGCTGGCTTAGGAATTCTGGGAGTTGAAGTCCACGAGTAATGAAGGGGCCAAGGTTGCCTACCTCTGGTCTATTCTCTTCTTAAAAACCTCCAGTGATGGAGCACCCACGATTTAGAGTGGCAAGCTGTTCCACTGGTTAATTGTCCTCACTGTTAGGAACTTTCTCCTTAATTCTAGGTTGCTTAGGTAAATCTATCATTGGGCTATTAAAGGGTTCCAAATTAGTCCTTGACTTACGACCACAATGGAGCCCAAAATTTCTGTTGCTAAGCGAGAGAGTTGCTAAGTGAGTTTGCCCCTTTTATCACCTTTCTGGCCACAGTTGTTAAGCGAGTCGCCACAGCTGTTGAGTTAGTCACAAGGTTGTTAAGTGAATCTGCCTTGCCCATCAACTTTGCTTGTCAGAAGGTCGCAAAAGGGGATCACGTGACCCCGGGGACGCTGCAACCGTCATAAATAGGAGTCAGTTGCCAAGCGTCTGAATTTTGATCACGTGACTGCGGGGATGCTGCAATGGTCGTAAGTGTGAAAAAGGGTCCTAGGTGACTTTTTCCAGTGCCGTTGAGATTTCAAATGGTCACTAAACGAATGGAGGGCTGCCCATACGGTACCAACCAAAAATAGTTCACTTTTTGGAAATTGTTCAATCCAGGAGCGTCCACTCCTAAATAATAATAATAATAATAATAATAATAATAATAATAATAATAATAATAATAATAATAATAATAATAGTAGTAGTAGTAGTAGTCATAGTAATAGTAATAGTAATAATACAGTTGGAAGGGACCCTGGAGGTCATCTAGTCCAACACCCTGCTCAGGCAGGAACCCTATACCCTTTCAGACAAATGGTTGTCCAATCTCCTCTTAGAAACCTCCAGTGTTGGAGCATTCACTGCTTCTGGAGGCAGGTTGTTCCACTGGTTAATTGTTCTAACTGTCAGGAAGTTTCTCCTTAGTTCTAGGTTGCTTCTCTCCTTGATGGGTTTCCATCCGTTGCTTCTTGTCCTGCCTTCAGGCGCTTTGGAGAATAGCTTGACTCCCTCTTCTTTGGGGCCGCCCCTGAGATATTTTAATCTGCTTTTTTCTTCCCTTTTTCAAATACCTCAAAAATCTTTTATTTTTTATTCTCTTTCTTTCAGGATCTTTGCTCGTATCTGTTATATGGGATGAAATTCTCCCTGGGCTGTACAGAGATATTTAAGTCTGAGAAGAAAAGAAGTTTAAGCATCTCATTTACTAAAACAAACGATGCAGTTTTTCTCTCCGTTTCCTGGAGACTGACGTTGGAAGTATTCTAACATCTTTTAGAGGTCGATTTTGTGCATGGGGTTTTAAGGTCTGGTAGGTTCCCGTTTTCCACGCTGAAGTACCAGGATCTGTTTTCAAAGCTTTCAAAAACTGGAACCCTGAACGCCCACGCCTGTTAAAGGGAAGTTATCTTGGTTTTTATGCACAATCCATCCTTTTCAGGAGATACAAGTCGATCTTTTAAGAGAAAACAATCCATTAAAAAATGTACAAAAACAAGTGTCTTAGAAAATATATATATATATATTTTCATTAATAACAATGTACCTTGGGAATAGGATAGAAGCTAAAACATTGAGCAAACGGTCATAATTAAAGACAATTAAGAACCTTTTGCTTGATGTTTAGAACAGTTTTTCAACCTCCACCAGTTTGGATATGTGGACTTCAAACTCCCAGAATTCCCCAGCCAACCCTGGCTGGGGAATTCTGGGAGTTGAAGTCCATCTATCCTAAAGTTGCTAGGTTTGAGAAGCACTGGCCTTGAAAATCATTCACTAAGCTACATCCTAAATAAGTCTTAAATCTGCAATTCTGGGATTCTTTTGCGGGTTATCCAAATTATTTAAATTTCTTCCTCCTGAAGCAGTTAACAGAATATTGTTTCTACTAGCTCATATAAGAAACATTTCTCCAAGTATTTGATACTATTTTTTTTTTAAAAAGTGTGAACCACCTTTGTATAAATGATTGTTTTTAAAGCAGTTTTATGCATGCATCTTACGCATATAAAAAAACCCACAAAACCCAGCAGCTATATCATCAACTCAGGGCTGAACAATTACTTTTTTTTTGAGGATCTCTTTATTGTTTTAAAGTTGCAAACGATAGGAAAATGAGAATCCTATCCAGATGTGACAATCAGATTGGCTTCCCAAATGCTTCAAGATTTTGGGTGTCAATCAAATAATTTCATGGAGCATTCGCGCAGTGTGGGGAAACTCAGCAGCTTACGAAGCAAAACACAAGACTGTGCCATAATTGTGTTAGCATCTCATCTGGAGCTCGTGTATTCCTTCCAGAATTTCTGCTTTGTTTATATGAAAGTTTCTGTTTTGTTCTGTAAGTTAATTCTGTTAGATTCCCCCCCCCTCCCCAATCTAACAACGGTGCTAACATTTAGAAAAAATCGAGGGGTTAGTTTCAGGAAAACAATGAAATTTCTGACCCAGTTAAAGTGGAAGAATTGTAAAGATGTTTTTTGTCTTTTGGACTTTAAAAATGCCCTAATGTGAATTACAGTTGACAGGATGTTGCCTGGAACTACCCAGTATTTTTTATATTTTTTTAAAGTGTCTTAAAATTTTGGGTGGATGGAAATTTTGGTGAGGGTTTTGATGTTGTTGTTTTTTGGCATGGTTTATATTCAAAGAATATTGAAGGGTGGACAAATTGCCATCAGCTGTCCTTGAATCCCAACTAAAGGATTTCTGTTAATGTAATGGTCGTCATCTCTTTCGAAATAAGGGCTAAATTCCTGCTGGAAGAGTTCATATCGTATACATTTGACTTATTATAATTGCTGATACTCCAGTGCTATTACAGAAGCGAGGCTTCAAAATATTCCTGCAGTAAAGCAGGCAGGGAATGGGGGGTACTGAGTTCTAATCTTTGCATTAACTGGATTAGAAACATCATCTTCAATTTCCCTTATCCTGGGGAAACTTGAACGTGGCATGCCCCTGCCTAAAAAAATGAGCCGAACCTGAACAAAATATCCACAACGTACGTAGGTGGTTAATATTGACTTAAAGAGTAAAAAAAAATGGATATTGTCTTAATAAACAAGAGTTTACTTTTACTCCTCTCAAATGTTTTTTTTTGCCTCTCCCCCCCCCAAGACTTTAAACCCCCAAACATTCACTGATATCCATAATTTCATAATGATATCAGGGAGACTTGCTGCATTTCACATAATCAGATGGCAGGTTGTCCTTGACTTACAAACACTCATTTAGTATCTTTTACCATAGTTACTACAGGAACTGACAAAGGTTCCCCTATTCACACATGAGCGTGGATACCAGCAGGTTTTAGACAGAACAGTAACCTGACAAATACGTTCCCAGCAATAAGCAGCTCAGCTGTTAAAAGGTACAAAAATTATCTTTATTGAACCACTTCATTTGTACTAATAGCAGAAATAACAAGATTTATCTGTAGCGCAGAAGCATCTGCTCAGGGCCAAAAGAGGCCCTCAGAAACGTAATACAAGATCCTCAGAGAGAGACTGAGTCAATTCTTCGCAGGCTTTCCACAATTTCCTTGACTTTGCACCTCTGTCGTTGCGCTAGCTAGCCCCTATAGATACTAATAGCATAACAATTCTTGTTGTGTGAACCTGGCTGTAGTCAAACAAGCATGAAACATATGGGAATGATCCAGGAAGAATCTAGAATTCTGTTCTAAGTGACAATTTTATTCCTCTTGTGTTGGGGTGTCCAACCTTGGCCACTTTAAGATTTGTGGACTTCCAGCTCCCAGAATTTTAAGACTTTGGGACTTCAATTCCCAGAATTCCCCAGCCAGCATGGCTGGCTGGGGAATTCTGGGAGTTGAAGTCCACAAGTCTTAAAAATTGCCAAAGTTGGACATCCCTGCTTCAGTATATCGTGTAAAGGCCCTCCGCCCGTAAGCCATAATTAATCTCCAATCAGAGCCAAGATATAATTGCCCCTGTGTGTGTGTTGCATGTACTGTATGTGTATGAAAAAAAGTCAAATCATGTTTTATAAGCACAGCTACAAAACCATTTACAGTCTTCACGTTTAGGTCTTATAGGGGAACCGTGGTCATTCTTAAAAGCTTGTCAGTCTTGGAAGACGCCCAGGAGAATCTGAAAGAGACAAGAAGCTGCATTTCAGGGAAAAATAAAACAAAACGAAACAGAAAACAGATTAAAAAGAACATAGCCTGAAAACATGACGCGCCGATCCAGCACCAGGGATCTCCTGACACTTTTTCCCATTGGTTTTCAAGTATGTCAGGGGAAAAACTCGTTAAAAGCAAAGAAACAGCACACCACAAAAAGTCTCCTTTTAGGATCCAGAGGTTTATTGAATTTTAGAACACAAAACAAGTAACATACATCAGAGGGAAAGAATCAAGATCACGTGAAGTGTTAATACCACTTTACAAGGCCTTGGTAAGGCCACACTTGGAATGCTGCATCCAGTTTTGGTCACCACGATGTAAAAAAGATGTTGAGACTCTAGAAAGAGTACAGAGAAGAGCAACAAAGATGATCAGGGGACTGGAGGCTAAAGCATATAAGGAACGGCTGCTGGAATTGGGAATGTCTAGTTTAATGAAGAGAAGGACGAGGGGGGACATGATAACAGCGTTCCAATATTTCAGGGGCTACCCCAAAGAAGAGGGAGTCAAGCTATTCTCCAAAGCCCCTGAAGGCAGGACAAGAAGCAACGGATGGAAACTCATCAAGGAGAGAAGCAACCTAGAACTAAGGAGAAACTTCCTGACAGTTAGAACAATTAACCAGTGGAACAACCTGCCTCCAGAAGCAGTGAATGCTCCAACACTGGAAGTTTTTAAGAAGAGACTGGAGAACCAGAGTTTCCTGCCTGAGCAGGGGGTTGGACTAGATGACCTCCAAGGTCCCTTCCAACTTATTATTATTACCTTTTATTCATTAGACATGAACCTCAGTCAACTGAACATTCAAATTGGCTGGCGCTGATGGTTGACACGGGTTGCTACCAGCATCCAGCATCCTTAAAATATAAGATGTTCCGAGCAGCGCAGTTTTTTGTAACATTGCTGGAGTTATTGCAGGAAGCTGCAGTTTCTTGATGTATTTCCATTCCATATTTTCCATTCCATTCCATATTTTCTATTCTATTCCATTCCATATTTTTTATTCTATTCCATTCCATATTTTCTATTCCATTCCATTCCATATTTTCCATTCCATTCCATATTTTCCATTCCATTCCATATTTTCCATTCCATTCCATATTTTCTATTCTATTCCATTCCATATTTTCCATTCCATTCCATATTTTCTATTCCATTCAATATTTTCCATTCCATATTTTCCATTCCATTCCATATTTTCCATTCCATATTTTCCATTCCATTCAATTCCATTCCATTCCATCAGCGGAGGCTCCAAGGGATGGAATCAAAAGGAGAAAGGGATAACGAGGAGTGTCAACCTGGCCATTGGTCCTACCTTTCTTAATGATCAACGTCGGCATCCTCAAACTGTCCCGTCACTACTGGGCCCGCATCGACTTCCATTCCATCTGAAAGCAAAAACAGCAACAGACTGGAGATGCTGCTCGACTTATGACTGTCTGCTTAACAACCGTTTGAAGATACAATGGCACTGAAAAAAGGACAGTTTTTTCACACCTACGACCGTTTACAACATCCCCACGGTCTATGCCAGGGGTAGGGAACCTTGGCTCTTTTATGACTCATGGACTTCAACTCCCAGAATTCCTGAGCCAGCATGGGGGGAACTATGGCCCCTTCATGACTTGCGGACTTCCAACTCCCAGAATTCCTGGGTCAGCATGGCTGGCTCAGGAATTCTGGGAATTGAAGTCCACAAGACATAAAAGGGTCAAGTTTGAAGACCCCTGCTTGTGGACTTCAACTCCCAGAATTCCTCGGCCAGGCACGCTGGCTGAGGAATTCTGGGACTTGAAGTCCACAAGTCCTAAAAGAACCAAGGTTGCCTACCCCTGGTCTATGCGATCAAAATGTGGACGCTTGGCAACTGACTCATATTTATGACGGTTGCAGTGTCCCGGGGGTCATGTGACCCTCAGGCAAGGAAAGTCAATAGGGGAAGCCGGATCCACTTAACAACCTTAATAACCGCAAGGAGTCACTTAACAACTGCGGCAGGAAAGGTCGTAAAATGGGGGCAAAAGTCATTTCACGATTGTCGCGCTTAGCAATGGAAATTCTGGGCTCCATTGTGGTCGTAAGCCGAGGACTACCTATACTGGTAGTCCTCGTTTTAACAACCGGCTACTTAGTGAGGGTTCAAAGTTACTATGGACCCAAAAGGTACTTACGACCTGGGTGCAGAGTTCCAGCCGCACCCCTCCCCCGCTACCACACGGCATTTCATTCATTCGGCAACCGGCTCCTTTTTACCGTCGCTTGCCGTGTGCTACAGTCAGGGGACCGTGATTGGCAATGTTTTTTTTTGCCAGTTTCCAGTTTTTTCCCAACCAAAGGAATGAATGGACCACCATGGAGTTTGCTTTAAAAGACCACCACAAAAAATGGTCATAAAATTGGTCTGTGGAGGTGCTTTTTCAGGAAGCAACTGGACTTTGTTTTTTCTTTGAAATAATAATAATAATAATAATAATAATAATAATAATAATAATAATAATAATATAAAAATAAAAATTGGAAGGGACCTTGGAGGTCATCTAGTCCAACCCCCTGCTCAGGCAGGAAACCCTATACCAGTGGTGGCAAACCTTTTAGAGACCGAGTGCCCAAACTGCCACCCAAAACCCACTTATGCATCGTCGGGTGCCGGGTGGGTGTGGCCCATTGGCTGGGTGTGGCCAATTGGGTGGGCGTGGCTGAACTAAAAAGTTCAACCAATCAATTCCAATTTTGCCAAGATCTTTTTTTTTCCCACGAGAAGTTGAAATTGACTGATTGATTGAACTTTTTTTTTTTTTTTTTTTTTTTGCACACGGTGGTGGAGGCCTAAAGCGAAAAGGTTTTATAAAACCCATCTGAAGGCCTAGGACTGGGGCGACGGCGCACGTGCCCACAGAGAGGGCTCTGAGTGCCGCCTCTGGCACCCGTTCCATAGGTTCACCACCACGGCCCTACACCATTTCAGACAAATGGCTGTCCAGTCTCTTCTTAAAAACTTCCAGTGTTGGAGCATTCACCCCTTCTGGAGGCAGGTTGTTCCACTGGTTAATTGTTCTAATTGTCAGGAAATTTCTCCTCAGTTCTAGGTTGCTTCTCTCCTTGATTAGTTTCCATCTGTTGCTTCTCGTCCTGCCTTCAGGTGCTTTGGAGACCAGCTTGACTCCCTCTTCTTTGGGGCAACCCCTGAGATATTGGAAATATTGGAACACTGCTATGATGTCCCCCCTCGTCCTTCTCTTCGTTAAACTAGACATACCCAATTCCAGCAACCGTTCCTTGTATGTTTTAGCCTCCAGTCCCCTGATCATCTTTGTTGCTCTTCTCTGTAGTCTTTCTAGAGTCTCAACATCTTTTTTACATCGTGGTGACCAAAACTGGATGCAGTATTCCAAGTGTGGCCTTACCAAGGCCTTGTAAAGTTGTAGTAACACTTCACGTGATCTTGATTCTATCTCTCTGTTAGTGCAGCCTAGAAGAACTGTGTTGGCTTTTTTGGCAGCTGCAACAACTCTCTAAAAAGGATGCAAATGACCAGCTGTCTGGAAGGAGTATAAATCCTTCCATCCTTTACCATCCAGTCAGAGCTGGAGAAGCTTCTTGGAGGACAAGCGAAATGTCTTCAAAGAAAAAAAAGGAAATCCATTTACCTCTGGGTCATAAAATTGGATTGATCACATGGATGCCTCGACTTACATCCCTGCTCTACAAGGGGAATTTTAGGCTCCATATAAGTCAAGGACTTCCTGTACATAACAATGCAGTGAGTAACTGACAGATGGCTTATAAATTAAAAAGCACATAGGAAAAAAGCAACGGATGGAAACTGACCAAAGAGAGAAGCAACCTAGAACTAAGGAGAAATTTCCTGACAGAACAATTAACCAGTGGAACACCCTGCCTCCAGAAGCTGTGAATGCTCCAACACTGGACATTTTTAAGAAGAGACTGGACCAGCCATTTGTCTGAAATGGTATAGGGTTTCCTGCCTGAGCAGGGGGTCGGACTCGATGACCTCCAAGGTCCCTTCCAACTTTATTATTATTATTTTTTTTAAAACTGTGCAGCCAAATTGGAGAACGGGACATCAACTATAGATAGTTCTGTCTTCTCAAAGCAGGTCTCCAAACATAGAAACTTGGAAGACTGGTGGACTTCAATTCCCAGAAATCCTTAGCCAGCCATTTTGGCTGGGGGAATCCTGGGAGCTGAAATCCACAAGTCTTTTTACGTTGCCAAGGTTGAGAAGCCCAATTGCGTACGATCCAAAATAGCAAGAGAAGGGGACGGCGGAGTTAGGAGCGGAGTCAAGTCATGGGGGGGTCTCCGGAGACCCCCGCCTTAAAAGCCTGACTGGAGACTGCCCTCAAGAAACTCCAACCTGGGTCAAGAAAAACTGCAAGGTGAATTCCTACCTTCAAACTCCCCAAGATTATCTTCCATTCTCACCCCAGCCATGTGGTACTGGGTGCTAATGGACTGGGCCAGCATGCCCTCCAGCCTCTCCAGCGTAGCTTGGCCCTCGGCCGTTAAACGGGACAAGCCTTCCTCGTACGTGTAGAAGGAGGGGATATCGCCTTGACCAATTTCTGTGCCAAGAACATAAAACGCAAAAATGCACGTTAGCCTTAAGAGAACACAACGGGGTCTGGTCACGTGATCCAAATTCAGTCGCTTGGCAACCGACTCATGTTTAGGACGGTCGCGGCATCCCCGGGGGTCACGTGATCCCCTTTTACGACCTTCTGACTAGCAAAGTCAATGGGGGAAGCCAGATTCACTTAACAATCATGTTACTAACAACTGCCCTGATGCACTTAATCACTATGGCAAGGAAGATTGTAAATTGGTGCAGAACAGGCGGGTAGTAAAATGGGGCAAAACCCACTTAACAAACGTCCCGCTTAGCAACAGAAATTTTGGGGCTCAATGGTGGTCGTAAATCCAGGATCTCCTGTACTACTACTGTAGTAACTGTGAGAGGAATTTTGGAGTCCTAGTGGACAATCACCTAAATAGAAGCCAGCAGAGTGCTGCAGCTGCCAAAAAACCCAACACAGTGCTAGGCTGCATTAACAGAGGGAGAGAATCAAGATCACATGAAGTGTTAATACCACTTTACAAGGCCTTGGTAAGGCCACACTTGGAATGCTGCATCCAGTTTTGGTCACCACGATGTAAAAAAGATGTTGAGACTCTAGAAAGAGTACAGAGAAGAGCAACAAAGACGATCAGAGGACTGGAGACTAAAACATATAAGGAACGGTTGCTGGAATTGGGTATGTCTAGTTTAATGAAGAGAAGGACGAGGGGGGACAGGATAGCAGACTTCCAGTATCTCAGGGGCTGCCCCAAAGAAGAGGGAGTCAAGCTATTCTCCAAAGCGCCTGAAGGCAGGACAAGAAGCCACGGATGGAAACTGATCAAGGGGAGAAACAACCTAGAACTAAGGAGAAATTTCCTGACAGTTAGAACAATTAACCAGTGGAACAACCTGCCTCCAGAAGCGGTGAATGGTCCAACACTGGAAGTTTTTAAGAAGAGATTGAACAACCACTTGTCTGAAATGGCACAGGGTTTCCTGCCCGAGCAGGGGGTTGGACTAGATGACCTCCAAGGTCCCTTCCAACTTTATTATTATTATTAAGGTCATAAGTAGCTCTGGGAAGGTCCGTAACTTCAAACAGTCAGTAAGCGAGCAGTCATTAAGTGAGGACTACCTGTTAGACTAAAATGATTATTAATCAATTAACCTTTTTTGGGGGGGAGGGTCTCTTAATACAGATACAAAACTGCCAGTTAATGTGGCCTAACCTGGATCAAGGTCAGTGGGAAATTACGGCCCATCACGCACACATCCAAGCCCCGCTTACCGTGAGCCTCGAGGTCATATTCATCGCCGTCGTAATTGCCCTCCGAGTCTTCGTCTTCCGGGTCGGGATGCAGGGCTTGGCATTCACACATGGCAGTGAACATGGCCTCCACTAAGTGAAAAACAAAAGGGCAAAATCGACTCACTCGGGGGCTGCTCCATGAAGGTATTTTAACAGGTTGTTAAAGCGCCTGGCCCTGGACTGCCACGTTTCTCAACCGTGGCAACTTTAAGACGTGTAACGAATAAAGGAGAATATTTGTAGCTCGGGGGTTGAAATGAGGGGGTCCTTGGTGCTCTCTGAGCTTGGTGGTTTCCTTGCAGACGTTTCATGACCCAAACTAGGTAACATCACCAGTGCTAGAAAAGAGGAGGAGGAGGAGGAGGAGGAGGAGGAGGAGGAGGAGGAGGAGGAGGAGAACTGTGGAGTTCTTCGTGCTCTCTGACTTTGGCTGATTTCTTGCAAACCTTTCATTACCTAACTAGGTAACATCATCAGTGCTACAAGAGAGTGGGGGTTTGCGAGGAGGAAAAGGAGGAGGAGGAGGAGGAGATATCAGAATTATAGTGTTTGCTTGCCGGTTAGATGTGTGCCAGCATTATTCTGAAAAAAAAACCAACCAACCTATTTAGTTTACTCGGTAAGGCAACAGGCTGGAAACCAAGAGAAGGTTAAGTTCTAGTTCTATCTTAGCCACAAAAGCCAGCTGGGCGGCTTTGGGCCAATCGCTAGGAGATGGTGAGTTCTAATCCCGCCTTAGCCATGAAAGTCCACTACTGGTCGGTGACTTTGGGCCAGACTCTCTTTCAGCCCATCTCACCTCACAGGGTTGTTGTGGTGGGGAAAAGAGGAGAAGAAAGATATATAAGGATATGTTTGCCCCCTTGAATTATTTGTGAAAATAATAAAGGTGGGGAATGAATGGAATGAATGAATGAATGAATACATGTGGGCTTGACTCCCTCCCTCAGCTCACCCAGGATATGTTCTCTGTGCCCAAAGTAGCCTGTTCCAAGTTTCTCATCTTTTTTCCAACTTACATGATGATTTGTCGCTGGGTACAAATCGGAATTCTGAGATGGGTTCAAGCTCGTCGTCACTCTCCTCCTCCTCCTCTTCCTCCTCCGGTACGGGATTGTCTTTGGATTCTTCTGCTGAGGAATCAAAAATGAAGATGCGCGTTAAGGAGCCTGGCATTTCTGCCTCACTTCTCCAAAGAAGTAAGGACCCAGCTGGGAGCTCCCGCTGTCATTTCCAGCTAACATAGCCAGAGATAATAACTAAAGTCCAATAACTAGGTGTCGCCTACACAATTTGGGTTTCTAATGTAAGGAATGAAAGAAAAAAGGGAGGAAGGGAGGGCAAGAGAAAGAAAGAGAGAAAGAGAAAATGAAAAAAGAGGAAGAGAAAATGAAAAGGAGAGAGGAAGAAAGAGAAGAGAGAGAGAGGGAGGGAGGGAGAAATCCAAGAGAATAAAGAACTAGAAAAAAATGGGTTTTCACAAGTCACTGCTTTATCACTGGAAGCTCAGCAGCTTATGAGACTCTTATCAACACCCAACCTCTGAAGAAGTCTTCAACGACAAGCTGTTCCCCCAGTCCAAAATGCCATTTGTATCACTAGCCCAGGAAGCTTTTGATCATGACATTAAGACATAGTCTGACATTTTTTAGATAGCAACTTTATTTTCTTCTATAGCCTTTTATTCAATGTGTATACAGATATATATATATATTGCAGTCAAGGTGGACTCAGCCTTCCCTCCTTCTGAGGTTGGTAAAATGAGGACCCAGATTGTTGGGGGCAAATATGCTGACTCTGTAAACCGCTTAGAGAGGGGCTGTAAAGCACTGTGAAGCGGTATATAAGTCTCAGGGGCTATTGCTATTGTTAACTCTGCCCACAGCTAGGAGTTCGATCCTGACCGGCTCAAGGTTTACTCAGCCTTCCATCCTTCTGAGGTCCGTAAAAGGAAGATCCAGATTGTTGGGGGCAATCTGTAAACTGCTTAGAGCGGGCTGTAAAGCACTGTGAAGCGGTATATAACTCTAAGAGTTATTGGGAAGGATGGAAAGAAGGAAGGAAGGAAGGAAGGAAGGAGGGAGGGAGGGAGGGAGGGAGGGAGGGAAGGAAGGAAGGAAGGAAGGAAGGAAGGAAGGAAGGAAGGAAGGAAGGAAGGAAGGAAGCCATGGTGGTACAATGGTTAGAATGCAGCATTGCAGGCTAATTCTGCCCACAGCCGGGAGTTCGATACTCACCAGCTCAAGGTTAACTCAGCCTTCCATCCTTCCCAGGTCAGAAAAATGAGGATTGTTGGGGGCAAATATGCTGACTATAAACCGCTTAGAAAGGGCCGTAAAAGCATTGTGAAGCAATAAATCTAAGGGCTATTGCTAACTAGACCTCCTTACCTTCAAACTTGGCATTCACCATTACATACAAGTGTTCCCATGGGTAAGCATTCAGGTCCCTGGAGATGGCATGTAAGCTTATGATGGGATAGTCCAATGAGAATCCAAGGCCTGAATCTGTTATCCATGACAGACGACTAAAAATGCAAAGCAAACAGAAAAATAAGTGGTAACTGAATTGACCAGAACAGAATTTTACACCAAACAGTTCACATCTATCTGAGCCATGACAATCACATATTTGATTAATATTTTTTTAAGCTGCTATGGAATAAAACTGGATCAAAGACACAAATGCTAATGAGTACAGGAGGCAGGAGTATTAGTCAGGATTATTCAGTGCTGGGCCGGTCACCCTCTCTCAGATCAACCCACCTCACAAGGTTGTTGTTCTGGAGAAGATAGGAGGAAGAAAATTGTGTTGTACATGTTCGCCATTTTGAGTTATTTATAAAAATAATGAGGGCTGGATACCAATAAATAAAAATTTTAAAAGGTTTATTCACCACTTTAGAGTTCAGAAACATACAAACAAACCAATATAAAATGAAGTGATTCACCAGAAACTATCTCAAACCACAGACTGTAACCATATGAAACTGAATGAGCGCTAATCATGATGGGCTTGGCAATTTTTGCTATTGTTGTGGCCCAACAGCTAGAATCTCACACACAGCTCTTTAAGGGTTTACACATTTCCCCACGTATATCCTGAGATCAGTTTTTGCCATCATATCTGCTGTAGCTTGAAGGCAGAAGCAACCAGTGTTTCAATGACATTTACAGGTGGACCCATTAAGAGGGCCGTCCTTCCAAGTGTCAGAAATCCCCAGCCAGTACAGGAGATTCTGGGAACTGAAGTGTCATACTGTTGCCAAGTTTGAACAATACTGGGTTAAACTGTAAGAATGCCACATGCTTGGCTATTATAAGCTTCAAATATCTGTCTGTCTGTCTAGCCATCTATCTATCAACTATCAATCTACATATCTATAATTATCAATCATTTATCTATGTATCTATCAATCATCTATCTTTCTACATATTTATCTTCTATCTATGTATCCTACCATGTATGTATCCTATCTATCTACATATCAATATCTACATATCTATTAGTCATCTATCTACATATCTATCTACATATCTATCAATCATCTATCACTCTACATATCTATCTACACATCTATCAATCTACATATCTATTAATCATCTATCTACATATCTATATCATTTGTTTACATATCATCTATCTACACATCTATCAATCATCTATCAATCTACACATCTATCAATCATCTATCAATCTACACATCTATCAATCATCTATCTACATATCTATCATTTATCTACATATCTATCAATCATCTATCATTTATCTACATATCTATCATCTATCTACATGTCTACACATCTATCATTTATCTACACATCAATCTATCAATCTACATACCTATCAATCATCTATCTACATATCTATCATTTATCTACATATCTATCAATCATCTATCATTTATCTACATATCTATCATCTATCTACATATCTACACATCTATCATTTATCTACACATCAATCTATCAATCTACATACCTATCAATCATCTATCTACACATCTATCATTTATCTACATATCTATCAATCATCTATCAATCTACATATTTATCATCTATCTACATATTTATCATCTATCTACATATCTATCATCTATCTACATATCTATCAATCTACCTACCTATCATCTGTCTGTCTGTCTCTCATCTTTTGTCCTTTTTATTTTTACAAATTAACTCAAAGCAGGCAGAGAGGATACCCAACGTACTTTCTTCCTCCTATTTTCCCCACAACAACAACCCTGTGAGGTGGGCTGGGCTGAGAGAGAGAGAAACTGGCCCAAAGTCCCCCGATTATTGCAATTATGATTTGATGAATGCAATTAGCGATCCCATAGTAGTCGGGGACCCCTCAGGTCCATTATTACTCATGGAAACTGCAAGTTATATTGTGGCAGGCGGGGAAGTCCCGCCTCCCCCCGACCTCCCCCCCCCCGAAGGATGAGAGATGCTGAGCTGCAGATGCCCCATCTGGAGGGCGCCAGGTTGGGGAAACCTGACCACAGATTAAACGCACAGGTCCGGCCTCCCGTCCCTCCGAAAAGGCCGATTTAGGAGTATCCCTCCGCCCTTCCAGTGGCAGGGAGTTCCGCAGGCCGGCTACCCGCACGCCCTCACCTCTCCGCGATGTACAGGCTGCCCCTGCCCAGACCGCGTCCGCCGAGCACGGCCTCCGTGTCGGGTTTCCGCAGCCGGATCCCCTCGCTCGGTTCCGGGATGCGCTTCAAGAAGCTCATAGCGAGCGCAAGGCCTACCGCAGCCGGGAGCCGCCGAGACCGGAAGTACAACCCGCCAGGCTGACCCGAGACGCTTCGCCGTTTCCTTTCGCCGTCACCCATAGAGAGGGGGAGAGCGCCAGGCCAGGCGCGCTTAGGCCGGCTGTCACCATAGAGACGGAGAGGGCGACGCTCCCCGGCGGCGATTGTGGCGGGGGTCACGTGACCTTGTGCCCGCCTGCCGGGCAGCCGCCGCGCTTTAATCCCCAAGTTTGCAAATGGTTTTTTTTTTATTATTTTTTTTTTGCAAAACACGGACCGCGTTTACACTAGTGTTTTCAAAGGAAGGGATACGAATTCGTGGGGATGCTTGCACCGAGGTTTAATTGGGGCTTCCCCGTGACTAGATCGGCTTTAAAATTTGGGGCGGGGGGGGCAACCCCTGCAAATAAGGGACAATTCGCTTGCCTTGATTTTTTTTTTTTTAAAGACGTCCAACAGATGTAGGTTTAGGGGCAAGTAAAGGGGTTAATACAGGTGGTTCTCGATTTACGACCACAATTGTGCCCCAAATTCATGTTGCTAAGTGAGACACTTGCTAAGTGAGCGCTGCCCTGATTTATGACCGTTTTTGCCACAGTCGCTAAGTGGATTGCTGCAAGTTGTTAAGTGAGTAGCATGGTGGTTAAGTGAATCTGGTTTCCCCCCATTGACTTTGCTGGTCAGAAGGTCACAAAAGGGGATTGCAATGGTCATAAATATGAATCAGTTGCCAAGCATCCAAATTCTAACCAAATGGGGATGCTGCAAGTCGTTAAGTGTGAAAAATGGTCATAAATCACTTTTTTCAGTGGTGGTGTAACTTCAAATGGTCACCAGATGTGTTATTGTAAATCATAATGATACCGGGACAGTGCAAAAGTCATGAATATGACTCAGTTGCTGTTTTGAGCATGTGACCTTGGGGATGTTGCAGTGGTCGTAAATCTGAAAAATGTGTGTTGAAGGAAAAGTCTTCATCGTGGTTCAGTCCAAGCCGGGAATAAACAGTATGGCGACTGCTTTAGAAAGAAGGTTGTAGTTTATTGAAGAGAAGAGCCAGACAGAAAGATGGCTCTGGAAAAAAAAAGGGGAAAAGCACATGTCGGGAGTGGGTTTTTATACCCTCTGGGGCTCTTGATATTGTTTCCTGTTCCTGTGTGAGACTTTGTATTTCCTGTGTGATGTATTTTGACCTGAGTCTGAGTGTGCCCCTTTGGCATCTGTGGGCTAATCCTATTATGTCCTGTCTTAGAGTTTGGGTGGGGTATGTAGATCAAAATCTAGGGACTGGTTTGGACAAAACTCAGCAGCACTTTTTCGTGTGGCTGTTGATAAAAACATGATCGCCAACATCCGATAACGGATATGGCAGAAGAAGATGTAGATTTTAGGTCTCTTTGTCTTCCTAAGCTTCTAGCTGGAGGGTTCCAACCTTCCTGAATGGATTATTACATCTGCGTTTCTACAGAACTGGTTTCTGCTTGGGGGAAGGAGACTTGGGGCTATTAAGTAAAACTGGGCATGCTTTTCTGCCTCTTTAAGATCCTTTGAGGAAATATATTATTCTGCCCTTTTAATATTTCCTTCTCTATACCATTCCAGACAAATGGCTGTCCAGTCTTTTCTTAAAAACTTCCAGTGTTAGAGCATCCACAACTTCTGGAGGCAGATTCTTCCATCAATTAATTGTTCTGTCAGGAAATTTCTCCTTAGTTCTAGGTTGCTTCTCCCCTTGGTTAGTTTCCATTCGTTGCTTCTTGTTCGGCCTTCAGGTGCTTTGGAGAACAGGTTGACCCCCAGTTCTTTGTGGCAGCCCCTCAAATATTGGAAGACTGCTATCATGTCACTCCTAGTCCTTTTCACTATACTAGACATACCCAATTCCTGCAACTGTTCTTCATATGTTTTAGCCTCCAGGCCCCTGATCTATCTTCCTTATCTATCTATCTGTCTGCCTGTCTATCTATAAAACTCCCTTTTTATGACCTTGTAATCCCTTAATTCCAGTGCCAAAGAATTGAGGCCTTTGAACTATGGTGCTGGAGAAGACTCCTGCAAGTCCCTTGGACTGCAAGGCGTTCAAACCGGTCAGTCTTAGAAGAGATCAACCCCGACTGCTCTTTAGAAGGCCAGATCCTGAAATTGAAACTCAAGTATTTTGGCCACCTAATGAGAAGGAAGGACTCCCTGGAGAAGAGCCTAAATCTGAGAAAGATGGAGGGCAAGAGAAGAAGGGGACGACAAAGAATGAGGTGGCTGGATGGAGTCACTGAAGCAGTAGGCGTGAGTTTAAATGGACTCCAGAAGATGGTAGAGGACAGGAAGACCTGGAGGAATGTTGTCCATGGGGTCGCGATGGGTTGGACACGACTTCGTAACTAACAACAACAACAATCCCTTAATTCAGGGTAGAGTTGAGGCAACTGGATTGAAGCTGTGCGTTTACTGGCCCAATGCCCTTGACGCCTACGTGAAGTTTGCGGTGCATCTTATAATTCTATTCCTTCCCTTTCCGCTAATTTTAAAACTGTACTAACTTCAGGACTGCAAGTTTTAAGCTATTTGCAAATCCAATTAAGCTGCAATCTTTTATGATAAGATGTCAGATTAGTTAAAAGGATGCCCTTATGTCTTTTTTCTGATAGGAACTTGGTGCATCGGCTTATTTAAATGTTTCTTTTTATTATGACAATTTACATGTCATATTCATATGAAAGGACAGTAGATATTATAAACAAAAACATTATGAAGGAAAAAAAAGTTACACAATCGGGCCTCCGAGCTTATTAAAAAAAAAAAGGCCGCAGGCCCAGCTTATTATATACACTAAATGTTCTGACTACTAGACCATAGTGAGACAACACTGAACATTTCGTTAACAAAAATATTGGCACCCGCCGTAACATTTGTTTTTTAAACTTCAATTTACAAGGAATACAGTATTTAAACAGTCAAAGCTAAAAACACCAGCTGTTAGTCCACTGCAGTTAACCAGTTTTAAATGCCGAGAGAATTAGAATGTTCCAAGGTTAAGTGGGAAAAAAGGTCCATGCAAGTGAATTGACTGGCATGAGGGGGAAAAAAACAAAATATGGTAACAAAACAAGCTGAAAATTATGTACAAATATGAAAAGGCCTCCGGTTCTCTCCCCAGAATTATCTATTTCTCTCTCCAAACCTCCACTTTGAATACATTTAAAAAACAACAACAGAAAAACCCAAAGCAATATGAAACATAAAAGAATGCAAATGACCGGCTCTCTGCAAGGAGTATAAATCCTTCCATTCCCCCACCATCCAGTCAGAGCTGAAGAAGCTTCTTGGGATGAGAAGCGAAACATCTTCAGAGAAAAAACAAGAAAGTCCAGTTGCCTCCTGAAAAAGCATTTTTTGGGACAACCCTGACCTGGATGATGGAGAATCTCCACAGACAACATGAAACATCCCTACGAGAGCAGTACAGGAAAATTCTGCTCTAGCTTTTTTGAAGGGTGCGGCAGGACACAAAACACACACCTGTAGATGGAAAACGTTAGTTACGCGCCGTTATTATTCAAGCTCAGGTGTGCTACCCAGGTGTTTTCCTCGCCTCCCTTCTGCTACTGCTTAGTAATGGCTGTTTAGGTAGTCCTCGACTTAACGACCACAAGTGAGCCCAAAATTTCTGTCACTAAGAGGCATTTGTTAAGCGAGTTTGGCCCACCTTTAATGACCACAACTGAGCCCAAAATTTCTGCCGCTAAGTGAGGCATTTGTTAAGCAAGGTTGGCCCACCTTTCTTGCTACAAGTTGTGAAGTAAATCGCTGCAGTTGTTAAGGTAGTAACGTAACTATTAAAACGGATCGGGCTTCCCTATTGACTTTGCTTGTCAGAATGTCGCAAAAGAGGATCACGTGACTCCGGGACAATAGAACCGTCATAAATATGAATCAGTTGCCAAGCACCTGGATTTTGATCACGTGACCACGGGGAATACTGCAACGGTTGTTAAGAGTGAAAAATGGCCGTAAGTCACGCTTTTCAGTGCTGTTGTAGCTTCTGTCACTAAACAAACACTGTTGTAAGTCGAGGACTCTCTGTACTGATAAATCCCGCAAACTTGAAGGCCACGTTCAACTGGGGTAACATCTCATTTTCTGCGCACTAATTTATCGGAGTCCCGTTAAAGTATTGGGATTTAATGGGCCACCTGCAAGATGAAAATGTTAGCCTCTCTTCCAGTAAGGTGATGCAAATTTTAATGTGTCCCAAAGGTGCTTTTTCAGGAGGCAATTGGACTGTTTTTCTTTGAAGATGTTTCACTTCTCATCCAAGAAGCTTCTTCACCTCTGACTGGATGGTGGGGAATGGAAGGATTTATACTCCTTGCAGACAGCTGGTCATTTGCATTCTTTTAGAGAGTTGTTGAGGCCACTTGGAGATTTACCTGTGTCCTCAGGGTCACCTAAGTTGTGCAAATGGGTGTGGAGCCTCTTTAGAACTGCTGAAAGGACTCTGGAGTTGTACTTTCTGCAGCATGTTTCAGCAGTTCCAAGAAGGCTCCACGCCCATTTGCAGCACTCAAGGTGATCCAGAGGACACAGATAAACCTCCAAACGTCCTCAACGACTCTCTAAAAAATGCAAATGACCAGCTGTCTGCAAGTAATATAAATCCTTCCACTCCCCACCATCCAGTCAGAGCTGAAGAAGCTTCTTGGAGGAGAAGCGAAACATCTTCAGAAAAAAACAAGAAAGTTTCAGTTGCCTGAGAAAGCACCTTTGGGATACATATTAAAATTTGCATCACCTTACCGGAAGAGAGGCTAACATTTTCTCCTTGCAGGTGGCCCATTAAATCCCAATACTTTAACAGGACCCCGATAAATTAGTGAGCAGAAAATGAGATGTTACCCCAGTTAAATGTGGCCTTCAAGTCATCTACTTCCCATCCTATTGATCCCAGACTATTCCGATTCATTTCTTTAACACTGCAAAAATTAAAAAACAAAATGGCACCTCAGCCCCCCCTACTCCCAAGGCACTTCACTGTCTATGGACAGCAGAATAACAG